ACTGTATAAACCGAGGTCCCGTGTCGCAGTAGGTGCTGTCACGAAAAAGATCCCTCCCAGCTTAATGGCCCTGAGTGCCGAGTATAGGACAAAATTTGCAGCTCTCCACCGGCAAGTGGTGGCGTCTCAATATGAGTGATAAATTCTCGAGAGGGACGTTAAACAATATTCAATCAATCAATCCTAGACCCTCGCCGAACTTTACGCATGAAGAAACAAAGACAAATAATCTGTTTTCAAACTTCAATGTAACGGTTAATTGGTAGTTACATTAAAAATACATTGTATATATATATATATATATATTTTTTTTTTTTTAAATATTAAAATATGTCTTTTCTATAAAGCCACTGCTCTAGATTTCTGTGGGCACTGTAAGTCAAACATAACATCGTACCGAAATGATTTAATTGATGTAAATAAATTGTTTTAAAATTTCAAGGAACTCTTAAAAGTATTTTACTATTCTGAAGTTTCATTTTTAGTAAATCGGTAATTCGCTCAAGAAAACTAACAAAAATTACGGCAAATTTACTTTCAAAGATGTTATATGATTATAAGTAGTTCGACTGTATCGACCAGTATTTCTGCCTTTCGGAACATGTGTTTTTCTTTTACCAATATGTACGACCATACCATTTGTGTTACAAATAAGTGATTTTAAAAAAAAAGTGCATGCACTGTTTTGTAATTATAATGAATAGTGATTCAGTTGCAAATTTGATCGCGAAAATACCACGATATTTCAGAGCTTTGCGTTAACTCTGCAACACAGTAAAATTTCAAACGATGGAGAACCCTTGCACTAAGGGCCCCGAAATTCACAAATTTGGAAAAGGCATCCTTCCTCATCAAAACATATGTACATAGTTCATTGGTTTATTATCCGGGAGCAGAGGAGGAGATTTTAAAAAAAAAAAGATGCATTTTTTGACTTGGCGCCACGTAACCTCTAGCATCCATTGTAAAAATTCTCGCCACTGAAACCCCAAGTGGAAATAAATTATTCAAATAAAAATTAGGCTTTGAATATTCACTATTTACGATAAAAATTGCGCATAATACACTGTACTGTTCATCTCTCCTATTAGCGATAAATCCATTATTTTAAAAATTGAAGCCGAAATTGAAACAAGTCATCTGTTTAAAATTCGGGAATAGAATGCAGAAAATCGGACGAAACGAAACTAGTTTACTGCAACAAAATCTTCATTTTTCCTGACAAAAGTTAGAATATTGATTTTAGCAATCTAATTTTAAAGCAAGATTGAAAACTTAATAATGTTATACATTTGTACAGCAGTTTATGCAATAATTTTACTGAAAATATCTTTGAATATCGATAATCTTGTTAAATGAATGTATTAAGAATTGTGTTTACTTAATATTTGCATAAGTAAAATAGCAATTACTTGAAAGAAGTATTCTAATCTACTTTCATTCAGGTTGCCCATGTGGCGCAGTGGTAAAGTGCCTAGATTTGAAGAGTAAGAGTTGATACGATTCCACTGTAAATCTTGGAGACTGGTCCTTTGGATATATTAAGCCGTACTGGCACAAAAACGATCAAACACTGTAATCTGTGTGCCAATTTTGTGCCTCCAATCCCAAGTATTTGCGTCTCAATATGAGTGAAAAGCTTCCGAAGCGACGTTCAACAGACTTTTCTTCAAAATATATTATAATTAATTTTTTTTTGGGGGGGGGGGTTGGGTAGGGTAGGTAATTTTTTTTTTAAACTGAAGTTGACAATTGCGTGTATACATATTGGTCTTCGTTCATTACTTCGTGATAGAAAATAGATGCAGGTGCAAAGTACTACAGCTATCGTAGAAACCATGATAACACCTATTTCCCAAAGGGTTGTCTTTCTCATTTCTTGCTTTCTTTTCTTTCTGATGGTCTGTCAAAGAAAATGACGACGAGCATATTTTAACACTGGAGAAAGTCTTCTTGCTATCGTAATTTGTTTGGTTTAGTAGTCTACTGGGTCTAGTTTAATATGTTTATTCCTCATTTGTAATCACCGATTTATTGGCTAATCACAAAGAACATGAAAATGTGTTGTCATAATATTGTAATTTCGGATAATTTGATGCGAGTTTCGTAACGGGGATTGGCACTTGTTACTGTTCATTACGTTCTGAGTAATTGAATTATTCAAAGAAGCTGTTTATTCTGACACGAGTATAAATCTCGCATTCATGACTTAACACGGAGCGTGGCATATTGTATTGAAATTGTATGCAAGTCGCAGAATATGGAAAAGGTGGCAATGTAATATATGGATATAAAGAACAGTATTCAGCTCAAAAGTTTAAACAATACAAAATTGGAGCAATGCAAACACGGATCTCCAAAGTATCAGAGGCGGGATCAGGTGCGTTGGAGGAGTGAGCATCCCTTACCGACTGGTCACACTCGCAGTGTGCTCCTTGTCATGATCGGGAAATGAAGTTTTAAAAACTGTCGATAATTCAAAAACTAATGACCTAACAATAAGTATTAAAAGTGTTGTTAATATGAAAAACTGTTTACTGAATGATAAATTTTATTTGCTGACAAGATCATTTTATAGACTATAGAACTAATGAAATATGACTTTAAACGACACTACTGTTATTCTTGTTTCATCAACTTATTTGTCAATAATCTACCTCATTTAAGAAATTGACCTGTTAGGGAACAATGTCTCCTGTCATGTTTAAATCTAATGGTGGGATTTAAACCGTCGATGTACGGATCAACGTCTCACTCTACGACTCTAGAGCAAGCCCTCTATTAGATTGAATTTTGTGTGAAATACATGTAGATGTAATGTTTAATATCCCTTTCTCTCATATTGAGTTGTCACGATTTACCGGTGGATTGCTGCAAATTGTAGACCTGTATAGTATAGGGCACTTGCGGTGTTGGAACATCCAGTGAGGGATCTTTTCGTGCCAGCACCTAATGTGAAAGGGACCTCCATAAATTGAACAAATTTTCAAAATCAATTTTGGTAGCATAGACTAATTAATAATGTAATTTGGAATCATTTTCATTTATACGTAGGGGTCCATGTTCGTGTTTAAGCAAACTTTTGTTATTCGTAATTTCGTGGGTACATGTAACTTGTATTTCGGACGATCCATAGAAAAAAATATATTGACAATAATTGTTCATGGATCAGAATAATTTACGTATGTTGGTCTCCCACAAACAATGATGATTCATTAATACTATATTAAAAGAGGTTAAAAATTTTTTTTAGAACTTCACTTGCATTTAACATGTTATCACATTGAAAGTAATCACTTCTGGAAAAATTGAAGCATTTTGTTGGTTTTGATACGTATACATGTATACTCTCAAACTGCTTTATGTGAAAATGCCTTCATCTTGTTTACACCTGGATATTTCGTAGTTATGCATGATTATTATATAGACATAGCTTTCTACCAACATTTTAAAAGGTGCATTGTTTAGGTCTATGGGTGGTACCGCATTGGTTTTAATCATTCTTTTAAAAAGTTTATACCTTTGATATCTTTTTTGTGTTCAGTAGACAACAATCAGAAGAACTGTTCGATTTAGTACTCCAGTTTTTAATCTTTGGATTTGTAAATCCATTTCTCACTAAAGCAGGTGCAAGTATATTATTTTCAATACCTTAAATACCGTTAGTATGAGGTTAGTGTATATGAAGCAGTAAGCGATCGATCAGCTTCTACCTTGACGTTTTGCAATTCATTACCTCTATGTCCAGAATTAAGTCAAAGAGTGGGGCTTATGTTGTCACATTTTGAAAATTTTTATTTATAGTATTTACTGTTCAATTCAACATTCAGCGACTTTTTCTTCACTTAATGAGTTTAAATAATGTTAATGTGTTAATATGCTAAAAAGGATAGCGAGAAAAGGTGATCATATTATATACATGTAAATTTTTAGCTCTACTGGTCAGAGACCAGAAGAACATATGCGATAGTAAGGTGTCCGTCGTCCGTCCGTCCGTCTGTAAACAATTTTTCAAAATGCTACTCCTCCTACAGTTTTGGTCTGAATCGAATATAACTTGGCACACAAGTAGACTACACTAAGATACAAAATTTAGTGCATCAGTCTTTGATTTCCTTGAATGGCGTTGCCATGGTTACTAAAAATAGAAATTCATTTGAAATTCCTTTAAAACGCTACTCTTCCTACAGTTTTGTCTGATTTCAATATAACTTGGCACACAAGTAGACTACACTAAGATACATAATTTAGTGTCGGTTTTTGATTTCGTTGAATGACGTTGCCATGGTTACTAAAAATAGAAATTTATTTGAAATTCCATTAAAACGCAACTCCTTCAACAGTTTTGGTCTAATTTTAATATCACGTGGCACACAAGTAGACTACACTGAGATACATAATTTAGTGCATTAGTTTGTTTTGTTTTTTTCGATGAACGATGTTGCCATGTTTTCTAAAAATAGAAATTTATTTGAAATTCTTCTAAAACACTACTTCTCCTACAGTTTTGGTCTGATTTCAATATAACTTGGCACAAAAGTAGACTACACTAAGATACATAATTAAGTGTATCGGTTTTTGATTTCAATGAACTGTGTTGCCATGTTTTCTAAAAATAGAAATTTCTGTAAAATGCTTTCAAAATGCTACTTCTCCTACAGTCTTGGTCTGATTTCAATTTAATTTGGCACACAAGTTGCCCCAAAAAGAGACTTGATCAAGGATCATTATTAAATTTTTTGCTGTTGTAAAGTTTAAGTCCAAATGACTACTTTTCTCTTCCTGTGTTATAAGTACAAACCAGTAGAACTACAGTCTCGACAGAGACTTCTGGTTAGATTTTAAAAAGTTAACGAACAGTGTTAAGGGTCAAAGGTTCATTAAACAATACAAATCGGGAACAGAATAAACAAGAAGCTAACATCGAACACGCTTTAAAGTCATTTGCATTCCTCGAAACTTGCTCCTTGAGTCTAAAGTTCCACCAAGTGGGCTAACTTGGTCAGGGAAAAGTTATTCTCAGGCGACCGTCAATGTATGTGGATATTTTGTGAAGAACAAAGTTGTAATGAATATATGGATATTTATTAAAACGAAGCACTGTTATATAATTATAAATACTATGTTTATTCAATCAGAACGGGACGCTGTTAAAATATAATATATGAGACTGATCTACATGCGTTTAGACATGTGACGTCATGTGACGAGTGAGATGGTGTCTCTCTCGAAATGTTTCCTGACATATGTTGCATCTCAGTTTGTCATCGCGTTTCTTCTTCACAGGATCGAATTCTCGTTTATGATGAGATCTCATGTGATACACGAGATCACTTGTCATGCGGAAAGAAGTATTACACTTAGCACACCAGTTCTGAGACAATACCATAGCGTTGACAGGAGACTTAACAGCCACTGGTGATGTGTTTTGTAAGATTTTTTCCACCATAGGATTAGAACTCTTCATGTATGGGATACCAGCATTGAGTCTCTCAGACATAAAGTAGTGCTTCCATTGATCTGAGAGCGATAAGATCATACTGGCTTTTACAGACCCGTTCTGTGAGACTTGCTGCATCGGAGGATGCGGAAGTTGAACAGTGTTACTTGGACCGACCTTTGGCAATACAGAAATATGGGGTGAAGTTTGTACACACGAAAAGTTCAAGCCATAAAGACTTAAATCTAAGTCTGATGATGGTTCATTCACTTTATATCGTTTACTGGAGACATTAGGAGAGGTTGAGTGGGGTGTGTGAAGACTTCTGTTCTCATTTTCAACTTTTCTGAATGCGCTAGTATCTGAGTAAGTGTTCAAACCTGCCTCACTGGAAAGTCTTCGAACATAGTCCGAGGTATTAGCCTGCATTATTTCTACACATTCATAATCGCGTTTTAATGATTTTGCAAAGTTTTTCGTAGATGTAGCATTTTTCTCTAAATTTATCTCTTTGATGATTTCGTGCAGCTTTGACTTTAGTAATTTTAACTCCGTTTTGATCTTTTTCTCCGTTTCCTTGAAGTTCGAGTTCGCCATTTCTTCACATTTAAAGCGTTGATGGGCCATCATTGGAAATTCTTGTTGAAAAACTTCACCACAGAAGTTGCAAACCAACTGTTCCCTATCTATCAAGTTATAAAATTAATCTTTAAATAATATGTTTTTTATTTTACAACAACATTAACATTTTCCTTTCACATGCAGTTACATTATTTTAATCTTCAAATTGTTTTTCAACATTTGCAATATACTATATTTTTTATAAAATATAATTGTATTTATGCTTTCTTAAGTGCAAATAAAAAAATATGTTGCAATGAGTTTAATAAATACCTTGGTCGCTATGTCTTTTAATGATCTGTATCTGTAACGTCTGACAGAAGTCTTTGCTGTACCACACAAACAACGGCTCCCCGGCTTTAATGATTCTAAGTGTTCTATAATACATTTTCCCGCCCTTACTGTAAGCTTCCATGTTTTGTTCCTCTTCATTTCGCGCCGGGGGTATACAAATGAGCCATTCCAAGGCGTGTGTCCTTTTTGACATTTCAAATGGATCCAGCTAAATGATATTAATTACCATTAATTCCCTATTGCGAAAAAAGCTTATCAAGAGATTTCAAAAGGGAATATCACAATGAAGCAGTCTGTTACACTATTTCAATTGACCGTTATCACAATGATTAATTTTTCGGTGTCACAATGAACAATACCCGACTAAACTAATGCAGGCAACTTCTTACCGATAAATTTGTGTCATCCTTTTCAGTTCTGCCATCTCTTGTCATCAATCCTATCAGAGAAGTTGGATTCAAGGCCGATGACTCTACATTAACGGGACCAAAGATGATGCCATAATCTATGTCAGTGTTTGTGGAGACCGTCATGATTTTTCCTGAAAGGATATTGGTAGAAAATGGGATATTGGAATTGATAACCTTAATTTCTATGAACAAATAAACAGCAAGATTATAACTAAATGAACAAGGGGGGCTTAAACTCTTAGAACTAATTATAGGCTAGTTTAAAGAAATGTATCAATAAACAATGGTTATTTCCATTCATATGTCAATACGTCATATCCCGGTGAACTTGAAATAAAAGATATCACAGAATCTGACACATCTGTTTCATATTTGGATATTTTACTTACGCACGAGCGCATGCTCTACGTAGTAGTTACCCCATATCATACTGTTGGTTATGTGTAGATACCCGATGGGCGTAGTCATAATGACACGAGGGAGCGTAGCTCCCGAGTTGTCATTATGACCACGCCCATCGGGTATCTACACATAATCAACAGTGTGATATGGGGTAAATGACTTGTACCATAGTTTTCAAAAATCATTCGTGTGTAAGTCAGCTTAGGAATCGGTCGACTGGTTCGCGTGATTGAAACATTAAGTGTTTGGTTTCAAAGATGCATTTGGATTTTATATGATTTTACGCTCCTTCGTGTCCTTCTGACCACGTCTATCGAATATAGGGTAAGTGATTTGTATACAACAATTTTCAAATTTTGTTACAAATTTTGCTATTTACTCGGCACTCAGGGTCATTGAGCAGTGAAAGATCTTCCTGTCAACACCTTCTGCGGCACGGGATCTCTGTTTATACTTTATAGGTCTCCACGTCCCACAGTGGGATTCAACTCCTTACTTCGTTACTCTAGGGCAGGCGCTTTAACCACTGGGCCACGCAAGCGACATAAAAATTAAACATATCTAGGCCCGTTTAAAAAGTTTGATTTATGTAATTGAAAAAATAACGAGTTGGTTTCAATGATATATGTTAATTTGATATGATTTTTTTTTCTCGTAAATTACAATCGTCAAAATAACATACAAGTAATTTAAATTTATTATGAACTTGGTGTAACTTAAATTTTTGTAAACCTGAACAAAGTTTGCCGTGCACAGTGTTAATTGAAATGTTTGTTAGGGTTATATACTTGTTTTTACGTCAAGTATGTACCGTGTTTCCTTTATTGGTTATCAAAAGAACGATATATTGGAATCTACTAAGCTAACGTCACCCTGGTCATTACACTATTTAAAAAAAAATGTTTTGAAAATCAAGCGATTTCTAAAGTTTTTTTTTTATTCACTTTTAACTAAAGTTAAAGCATTAATGGGCGTTTTTAACTGTTATTTATTACAAAATGCTACATAAAATTGAAAATTTTTACTCCTTTTTACTCTCCTAAATTTGGTATAACAAGCCCGTATAATTGTTTCATTTAAAAACCGTGCATGATCGTTTTATAAATAGTTCTTTTGTCCGACTCGATGGGCGGAGTTATAGAAAAGTGTGGGTTATGTACAGAAAACCCACACTTTTAACAAAAGAAATCACACCTAACTATGGTACAAGTATGTACAATTTCTAAACCGAGATAAACTATTGACAAACAACTTGATGAAACAAGAATATCAATCAACAGTCTCGTTTAAGGTCATCATGTTCTATGGTCGATACAATGACATTGTCAACAAATGTAATATATCTGATTGACGTTTTTCATACTATAATTTTGGACTGAGTTATGTCCCTTGGACTTAACAAAATTCCAGTCATATGGGGGAGTGAGCATAAGTGTTTTACAAACATCTCTTGTTTTCAGTAGTGTTATATAAAGGAATACATTTGCCAATGTAAATATTATTAAATAAATGCCTGTCGTTTTACAAATTAAATAAAGCGGTAAAGGATTTGTTACATTTAAGGTAGGTTCGTACTTTCAGAATTTTCTGTCAAACTGTTTATTTTTTTGATTTGAGTATCTTGAATAAGTCATAGACTAAAACACCCATAAAAGACATCTTTGCAGGTTAATTTTCATGTAACGTGTCTCAGAGTACATACCTTTAAAAATTCAACAGCCAAAATTCAACCTAGAAGTGTGACATATTTTATTTAGCTATGTACCAAATCACATCAAATTTATGTTAAAACGTATCAAAATCAGAAATATTCATTTGCCAAGAGAATATTTGAAATTTTTATTGGAAAACACTAACAAATTGATGTTGATTCTGTGCACATCTTTCAGAAAGAAAACCTTAAAATATTTCTAATATGTTTATACAGCAAAACTCGGTTATAACGAAGTCACTGGGACCTGTGAAAATACTTCGCTATATCCGTAATTCGTTATAACCGTATAAGAAATTCATTAAATTTATATAGCTGGGGATCCAAGATGACTTCGATATATCCATAAATTCACAATATCCGTGTTCGTACTAACCGAGTTTTGCTGTATGCCATTTTTTTCTTTAAAACTATTTAGAATTATATCTTAGGTTAACAAAAACACATACTTTATTTTGGTTGATCAGATAAAGTTAACAAAACAGCATTTTGAACATTTATACCCCCATTTTTGGAATATCTATTTTTTCGAATCATTCTTCGCAAAATTTATTAAAAAAAAGTAAAATTTAAAAAGATGATATAGGCTTAAAACTAAAAAAAATAGATCTCAAGTTAGTTCGTTTAAAATTTTTTTAAAAAGCATTAGGCCCATAAAGGCAATTAAGAATCATCTGTTTATGTACTAAATGACATATAGATCCTATGGACAGAGTGCAAAGTGTTTATTCCCATAAATAATGTACATTAAATGCTTTGTGTGCACAATAACACTATAATAAACAAATATATTCTTGCTAAATTATTTTCAATCATCCAAAAAGATTTTATTTCAATAGACAAACGATAATCAGAATTTTATATTGGTGTGTAAAATTTAAACCGGATCCGTAAAAGTATGGACCTTCCTTAATGTGAGAGTAATTAAAAGAAATCTTTGTTGAGATATTTTCAAAAGTCATCGTCCTTATTCGAGTTTGATGTTCTTAAAATAAGATTTTAAACTTGTCAAAAGAAAACGATGTTGTTAAGAAAAACTATGTTATCTAATTTTAAATTAGATATGTGAAATAAATTTTTAAAATGTTGATCAATTCAATTCGCCCCCGGAATTAAACGACATATGCCCTGTTACCGGATTAGCCATAAACTGACCAAAATTGCCGATAAATCAGTATTAGCGCACCCTTCGGTGACTTAACAATACGGTCCAGTTGATCGAAATGCTATTTTTTTTCACTGATGGATTTCGGCTCTGAGGCATACTCTGCATACCTATTATCTTTCAATCCGTGTAGGATTCAGAACTCCGCGTCATCTAAATCATACTCTATGTTTACACCAATTGCATACTTCTTAAAGGGGGATCTATGTCAGAAAAGCCTTTGTGTGAAATGTTCGAAACTTCGACATTTTTCCTTGCAAATCACCTATTAATTTAGGCAATAAAAATACATTTATAAGCTAATTTTCATACAACGGTGCTTGCAAAAACAGTGTGATTTGCGAAAATTAGATTATTTCAAGAAAGCTTTGGAAAAAATTGCAAAAAAAAAAAAGATTGTCATTGTTTAGCGCTGAGTCGGCAATATTTCAGTCATATTTTGGCGGTATGAATTTAAATATTGTAGGAACAGTTTTGAGAGTGCTAGGGTTTCTCTGACGGCCCCAAATGAGTCTATTTATTTATTTATTTTTTTTGAAAACCAGAATCAAGGAAACGATCTTTATCATACAGAGGGGGTTGCAATCCTTGACAGGGGGCATTTAACGCCCCATCCGACGGACGTACGCAATAAAAGACCCAAAGACTCAAATCACATTTAAAATCAAAATACCTCAAACTATTTGATTTGTATCTTTCAAATGAAAGCAAATATATTTATATAATATAGTTTTTTCCAGTTTTAAATACATGTCAGATTTATCGCCGTGAATTCAGAATAAAAGATATACATGTAACAGGGTTTGTCACATCTGCTTGATTGCTAATGTTTTTTCTAGTCATAAATTTATGTCAGATATATTTACCCCAGTAAATTCAAAATAAAAGATATAACAGTTAGTCACATCTACTTAATATTCAACTGACTAGAAATGTTAATAGCCACATCTTTCAACTAAAATCTTCTGACAAACGCGATATCTTCAGCTTCTCTGTATTTCCTAGTTTTCCCTATTTGTGTAGTTGCTGTGATATTCCATAATCACTTCCATGTTGCATGTCTTTCCTTTCCCAAACAAAAAGAGCATGTTCCAAGTACGATTTCAAACAGAAATAGACTCCAAAAAATAAGTTGACAATACAGGAATTCCAACCTTTTTTAAAAAAACATTTTTCAAAAACTTAAAGTGACATAATTTGCAAATACAACCTATCATTATGTTGAATTTTTGAAACATGTTTCAGACCTTCTTAAGCTATTGTTCTAAATCGTTCTCAATGCAGATAACTCTGTTATAAAAATTGATCACTGTTTGTTATTTTCACATTTTACTGTTCGTTGTTTTCATATTTTACATCTTCAATAAGAAAACCACAAAAATCATATGAATACCAAAATAAATAATGTTCTTATTAACCTACACATTGAATTTACTATTAATCCCCCCCCCCCCATTTTTCGATTGACTTTAAAACCTACTTTACGATATTGTATTTTAGAAGCAAATTCGGAACAAAATGTGTATTTTTTCAACAAGAATAAAATTTTAAAAATAATAATTTTTAGAATTCAATTATATTAAAATTTTTAAACGAAGAAGATGGCAAACAAACTGTGACATTATTAAGAAGTTGAAAAATAAATTTCAAAAAAATGGTGCATATTTTACATTTCACTTAAGTAAACTTGATGTAGAATCTCCAAAATTTGCAACTATCATTGAATAACATGCAATTTAAATCAAAGACTTCAAAAACGCTTATTTCTTCAAAACATAAAACAATATTTTTATTTAAGTAAATTTCCACTCCGTACAGTTTTTTAAAATTAAAACACTTTACAAC